AAGAATGCCTTCCGGACCTCAAGGCCAAGTTGGTGCCAGCCCTGCCCCCACACCCAGGTTCCTATCCATCCATTCTTAATGGCACCCCACCCACTTTTCTTCTCCCTGTTGTTTCCATGCCACCGGGGCCCCTGATCTGGTTGGTCGCAGAAACTTGTGGGTGTTGTGGGGAAGAAAAAATGGGAACTGGGGTTCTAGGCAGATCTATGTGGGCGTGGGTGGTGAGGACTGAACAGTTCTATCTTGTGGCTTAGGCCCAGCCCCCCCAGTGCTGTTCCAGAACACTCACTGGGTCATGATCCCTTTGCGGAGTTGGAGTGTAGTGAGGTTAAAGAATCTGAAGGAAGATTCTTTTTTTGTTTTGTGTTTTTTGAGAGAGGGTTTCTTTCTCTGTGTATCCCTGGCTGCCCTGGAACTTGCTCTGGTAGACCAGGCTGGCCTTGAACCGACAGAGATCTGCCTGTCTCTGCCTCCCGAATGTTGGGCTGGAACATTTTCTTCAGAAAGTGAAAGTGTGGTACATCTAAGGGTATAGTTGACTGGAGTGGGGTGGGCCAAATCCAGGAGTCAGGGCCATCAATGGGTCTGCAAGAAGCTGAAATGTCCTTTCTGCACAAGGAACCCTGCCTGAGCAGTGGCCTTTTCTTCCCTGTTTCATAGTTGGTTTTCCAGTTTGACTATTAGCTGTGGCTGCCCTTTACCATCATTATTGTGGCCTAGCCTGGTGTGTAGCCTGCTAGGTTCTACTGAGCAGTTTGCCTAGTAACCTGTTCCTTTCCAAAGTTCTTGATTGGTTCATTTGTAGGCACAGTAATTCAATCTCATAGCCACGTATGAAGAAAACCTGGTAAGGTGTCAGTGAATCATAACAGTTGGTTGCGTGGGTGGCCACTCAGAAGGTGTCATGTCCAAGATAATATTGGATCAATATCCAAGATATTTAACCTACTTAGGATCAACGTAGGAAGCCCAAGGATGACACAGTGTAATGTAGAAACCTTGGGTTACACCCAAGAGATTTAAAGATAGGTTTCTCCATGTAACCAGGTTGGCCTTGAACTCACAATACTCCTAGCTTTAAAAACAAAATCTTTTTTTAAAAAAAGATGGCTTGTCAGTTAAGAGCACTAGCTGCTCTTCCAGAGGTCCTGAGTTCAATTCCCAGCAACCACCTGGTGGCTCACAACTATCTATAATTGGATCTGATGCCCTCTTCTGTCATGCAGGCATGCATGCAAATATGCATAAGTAAATCTTAAAAAAAAAAAACCAACTTCTAAAAAAGTTAGTTTTATACAAACTAGTGTTATCAGCTTGATATTTCCCCATATACATCTAATGAATAAATCATTTTGTTTGTTTTGGTTTTTATGAGATAGGATCTTACTATGTGGCTGTCTGGGAACTCACTATTTAGATAGACCAGGCTGGCCTTGAACTCACAGAGATCTTACTGCTTCCGCCTCCCAAGTGCTGGGATTAAAGGTCATTTTTTGAAGATGGGATAGTAAACTCAGAAGTTCAAAGCCTGAGGGGTCAGTGCAGCCTGGAGTCCAAGTGAACCTTCTTGCTCTTAAGAACCTACACAGTTGTCTCTGGTACCAGGCACATTGAGGATGGCTGGCAATGGGAGTGTGTTCCATGTTTACACCAAGCTTTATGACTCTACAGGAGTCATAATGTTCTGGCATTCATAGCACATCTGATATTGATCCTAATCCATTTTTTGGCAGTGATTTTTGACTAAAGGCAAATAAGGAGAAAGTGACTATTTTTCAGTGCTAAGAGAAAGCCAGTTTGTTTGAGACATTTTTCTAACTCTGGTAGATCAGGCTCAGAACTCAGTATGTAGCACAGACTGGCCTCAAATGTACATACATCTTCTTACCTTAATGTCCCTGTCTGTCTGCCCCACCCCTTCATGCTGGATTGTATCTATGAGCCACTGCCCAGGTAAAAGGGAACCTTTTGGTTAACCTAAGGGAGGTTAGCTCTCTGTGGTTACTTTGACTCCACAATATTTGACTCTGTGACTGACCTAAGTTCTATGACATGAAACTTTTGGTTTTTCGAGATAGGGTTTCTCTGTGGCTTTGGAGGCTGTCCTGGAACTAGCTCTTGTAGACCAGGCTGGTCTTGAACTCACAGAGATCCGCCTACCTCTGCTTCCTGAGTGCTGGGATTAAAGGGTGTGCCACCAATGCCCGGCTGAAACTTTTTTTTAAAGCAGATTTAATATAGATTTATTAAGAAGTCAGAACTCTCAAGAGTGGGAAGGAGAGGAATATCCTAAAAGTTTTTTTTGTTGGTTTGTTTGTTTATTTATTTATTTATTTATTTTTTGGTTTTTCGAGACAGGGTTTCTCTGTGTAGCTTTGGAGCCTATCCTGGCACTCGCTCTGGAGACCAGGCTGGTCTTGAACTCACAGAGATCCACCTGCCTCTGCCTCCCGAGTGCTGGGATTAAAGGCGCGCACCACCAACGCCCAGCTTGTTTGTTTTTTGAGACAGGGTTTCTCTCTGTAGCCATGGCAGTCCTGGAATTCAACTCACTATGTAGAGTAGGCTGGTTTCAAACCTGCCTCTGTCTCCTGAGTACTGGAATTAAAGGCATATGAATCTACCAGCTGAATTTTAATTCATATACATATGTGTGTGTGTGTGTGTGTGTGTGTGTGTGTGTGTGTGTGTGTGTGTGTATTAATTTGAGGTATGGATTTAATATTAACTCTGATCTCTTCTAGCCTTAAAAAATATTTTAAGTTGGCATACCAAGTAATATGAGTCATTGCAGCACATGTATTTCATTAATACTTTTTTTTTATTCATCTCCCTCTCTCTCTTCCAGCTTTGAACAACTTAATTGTTATACAGCTTTGAGAAAGATTAGAAATGGTCCGCTTGCGGGGCATTGGTGGCGCATGCCTTTAATCCGAGAACTCGGGAGGCAGAGGCAGGTGGATCTCTGTGAGTTCAAGACCAGCCTGGTCTTCAGAGCGAGTGCCAGGATAGGCTCCAAAGCTACACAGAGAAACCCTGTCTCGAAAAAGAAAAAAAAAAGAAAAAAAAACCAACAACAAAAAAGAAATGGTCCACTTTATTAGTTAATTGTTCTTGGGGAAACATGTAAACATTAGAAAGAAAAACATTCCTTTCTATAAATAACTATGCCGTAGCAAGACATCTCACCTTATGCAAACCCCACCACCACTTCCTGTTGAATTCATTACTATTAGCTGTCTAAAGGAAAAGGCAGCATTGTTGTTTTTACAGAACTGGTAAGAGCCCTAGAAATGGGTGCCTGCTGTGGGATAAGTCTTGACAAACATGGTGCAGTTGGAAGCTGCTTCCTGTGGCCCCTGGGAAACTGCTCTGAGGTAGAGGTTTTTACAGGGATCAGCTGTGAGCTCTTATCAGCAGATGCAGTGAACTGGGGTCATGTGACTCCACAAAGCCTCTTGCTAGCTTATAACAGCTTGAAGTGAAGTTCTCTTTTAAAAATAAACCAGCAAGTTTTGCCTTCTGCCTTTGTTCCAGAAGAGACTGAGACAGAAAAATTACTTAAAATGGAAATGGGCGGAAAAATTCATGGCAGTCTGCCAAGGAAATTTTCTTTGTAAGGGACATGCAAGGAAGAAGCCGTCTTGGTACGAAAGGAAGAGAAGGGTTTATTAAAGAAGAATTAAATGATGTCACTGGTAGTGACT